AGAATTTTTACGGGGGACACAGAATTTTTTTTCTCGGGACACAGAATTTTACTCAGGGACACAGAATTTTTTCTCAGGGACCAGAATGTTACTCGGGGACGACACAGAATTTTTACTGGGGGACACAGAAGTTACGAGGACACAAAAATTTTTTACTGGGGACACAAAATTTTGTTACCAGGGACGACACAGAATTTTTACGGGGACACAAATTGTTACGAGGACCAAATTTTTTACTCAGGACACAAATTGTTACTGAGGGACACAGAATTGTTACTGAGGGACACAGAATTGTTACTCAGGACAGACACAGAATTGTTACTCGGGGACACAAAATTTGTTACCGGGACACAGAATTGTTACTCAGGACAGCACAAAATTGTTACAGGGACACAGAATTTTTACTGAAACACAAAATCGTTACTGAGGGACACAAAATTTGTTACTCAGGACACAAATTGTTACGGGGGACACAAAATTGTTACGAGGACACATAATCGTTATACTGAGGGACACAGAATTGGTTAACTCAGGGACACAGAATCGTAATGAATTAAAGAGTATTGACCACTACATGCAGAGATGGCAAGGAGGCAATGTTTTAGGATTCAAGCAGAACGTGGCAGCAGAGGAATGGGTCGATGCAGCCCTAGTCCGCAGCCATACCAGTGCTCCCGTTGTCCATAATCCAGCGTCGTGTCTTCCACCGACGAACGGGGGGGGGGTGGGTGCTGCGCGTGCAGTCATGTGTGGGGCTCGTCGTCTTTCCTCTCCCATCACCTCTGACACCTACAGCCAGACTCGGTGGTATCTGGCGTGCGAGTACATCACACACATTGTGTGAGTGGGGTGTGCAGGAATGGCACGGAGCAAAAGCCCACTAGAAATCACGCGTCCTCTACCTGAGCTCCCTGTCACCTTTGGTGTTCCCCTCACCAAGCGAAAAAGAAAGTATCGCTATGCTGTGGCGCCTCAGCCACCACTGTACAGTGAGGAAGAGTCTAACAGTGGCCAGCGGTCAAGGATCGGTGGGAGACATCCGCATCTTCTTCAGCAGCAGGCGGAAAAAAAGGTAGTACTGGCGAGGAGAGGTGGCTCAGTAGCGGTTCTAGGAACAGGTCTGTCTCGGACCCACACGCCGCCCGTGGGGGCTGAGTCAGTGAGGCGGGAGAACCCTAATTGTTGATGACGAGGTGATCGCACTTGCAAGCCTCGTCGTCATTCAGGGCTATTGCTTCCGCATCATTCACCGGAGAGAGACCGGTGTGCCAGCTTGGCAGCGAGCACCAAAACAGTCGTTGGCCCTTTGCCACTGGAGGCAGCAGGGTCGCAGCATGGTCATGGAGGCATACCGAAACTCACGTGAAGTAGAGCAACACTTTACTGCAAGCACTACCACTCAAGACGCTCAGTAGTCGCCCCGTGTGCAACCTGCTACCATCTAGCATCAGCTTCCTACACCTGACGGCCAGTAGTCGCGGGCACAGTTTCCTACTCGGACCGTGTGGCAATGTTTACGGCTAACCGCCAGAAGGAAGTAAAAGTAGCAGGTCAGGCCACTATGTGCCATAAATCTCAGCAGTGACGCCAGAGGCAAAATCGTCTCCATACCTCCACACTATGCCCATGTGGCCACTTTCCCGGCGGCCCCCCCCCCCCACACTGTCACCGTGCTAACCATTTTGTCGATAGGGTGCAATGGCAGATACGGGCCTCCCAGTTGCTGCGGCCAGCCCGTAATCTGCCATGGCCCCTGTTACCGACATCCTCATTGCTGCATGGCCCGAGCCCGAATCTGTCATGGGGCCATGTAAACGGCCTCCCATTCTAGCTGTCTCCAGTCGCCACACTCTTGCCATGTGCCACTCATTCGCTCAGGTCTCCATCACACTGCTGGTGTGTGTCCATTTTTGTCATGTAGGGTGTCTGGCAGATTACGGGCCCTTCCACCATTGCTGCTGCCACCGTAATCTTCCATGGCCCCCGTACCGTACGTCTCACTGTGACGGTTGCCAACAAGGTGGAATTCATACCCTACACATATGGTTAGACCCGCCTTATACGAACAGCGAAAGGGCCATCACCGATTTCCTGATGTTACAAGCTGTGATAAAGGTACTCCCCTTGTAACTTAGTATGTCAGCCATATGGCAGCTCATCGTTGACACCTGCTGCTTGCTCAGCCCTTTTGAGGAGGCCACGCTATTACGGAGTCGGCATGACTATGGATGAACGCATCGTTCATTCCTCTGTTCACGTCCTGGAACAAATGCTGTTAACAATGGCTGGTCAGGGTGCGGTAGACGTGGCGCACAGATCTCAAACGCCACATGACCCCTGTGGGCAGACAGGAAGAAGAGTGGAGGTAGAGGAGGACATTGGTGCTCAGGAATTATTGAGTGAAATGGGTGGTTTTTTTTCCACTGTCAGCGGACAGGAGTGACAGAGAGCATGAGCCATCTGGTAGAGGAGGAGGATGAACAGAGGACCCAGACGCACCGTGGCAGTATGCTGTGGAGATGGAGCAGGGAGTCCCTCGCATTCCTTGCACAAATGGCCCATAGCATGCTCGTTTGCTTGCGTAGCGACAGCCCGAATAATAACCATCAGAACAGAGGGATGACCTTTGGCTGTCCACCTTGTTGACCCTCGCTACCGTTTCAAAAATGGTGGCCTTTTCACACCTGCTGAGAGGGAAGTGCCCAAAATAAAGTACTATAATAAACCACCTATGTAGTCATGGTCTCTGCCCTTTCTGCGCCAACGTCCATCCTTAGACACTGTGGGCCCTGTGCGCTCGCGTTCCGCTGCCACGGCAGCAGGGGAGGGGTGGGGTGGTAGGAGCAGTGGCAGCTCCACCAGCAGCGGCTGCCTCAGTCTGCAGTCGATGATGAGTACTTTCTTCACCAGCGCAGTGAGGAAACTACTAACCAGCCGCAGCAGCAGCAGCATCAGGTGGACCTGGAGCAGGACCTCAAACAACAGGCTTGGCCTACTTGACAGCACCCTGCCAACCGAGGTAGACAATCCCCTTGACTACTGGCAACGAAACTTGACCTTTGGCCCCAACTAGCTGAATTTGCCCTTGAAAGGCTGTCATGCCCGGCCAGTAGCGTGGCATCGGAGCGCGTGTTTAGTGCGGCAGGAGGTATTGTAACTCCGCGGAGACACGACTGTCCACCCAAAGTGTGGAGAGACTCCTACACGTTTGTGAAAATGAAAATCAGGCGTGGATTAGTCTGGATTTCAAACCACCAGTTCCTGACACAACTGACTAAATCCACCATGAATCATGCCCCAAACATGTTATTATTTTTTAACATAGGCCTCTGTATGGCCTTCAATTTAAGCTGCTTACGCTTCTGCCACTCTCTGCCATGGGCCCCTGTACCGCCTCCTCTTGCTGCTGCCAGGTCCAGAGTGTGTCATGGGTCCCTGTACGGCCTCCCATTGCTGCTGTCTCCATCGCCCACACTCTGCCATGTGCCACTTTCAGGTCTCCTCACAACTGCTGGTGGGTTCCATTTTGTCATAGGGTGCTGTATGGCCTCCCATTGCTGCTGCCAGGCCCGTAATCTGCCATGGGCCCCCGTACCGACCTCCTCATGCTGCTGCCAGGCCCGTAATCTGTCCATGGGCCCCTGTACCGCCTCCTCATGCTGCTGCCAGGTCCAGAGTGTGTTCATGGGTCCCTGTACGGCCTCCCATTGCTGCTGTCTCCATCGCCACACTCTGCCATGTGCCACTTTCAGGTCCTCACACTGCTGGTGGGTTCCATTTTGTCATAGGGGTGCTGGCAGACGTTACGGCCTCCCATTGCTGCAAGGCCCGTAATTTGACCCCATAAGGGCCCCCGTAGGACTCCTCATGCTGCTGCCAGCCCGTAATCTGGGCCCCTGTACCGCCTCCTCATGCTGCTGCCAGGTCCAGAGTGTGTCATGGGTCCCTGTACGGCCTCCCATTGCTGCTGCCAGGCCCGTAATCCTGCCAGGGGCCCCCCTACCGACTCCTCATGCTGCTGCCAGGCCCGTAATTTGTCATGGGGCCCCTGTACCGCCCCTCTCCTGCTGCTGCCAGGTCCAGAGAGTGTCATGGGTCCCTGTACGGCCTCCCATTGCTGCTGCCAGGCCCGTAATCTGCCATGGGCCCCCGTACCGACTCCTCATGCTGCTGCCAGGCCCGTAATCTGTCATGGGCCCCTGTACCGCCTCCTCATGCTGCTGCCAGGTCCAGAGGTGTCATGGGTCCCTGTATGGCCTCCCATTGCTGCTGCCAGGCCCATAATCTGCCATGGGCCCCCGTACCGACTCCTCATGCTGCTGCCAGGCCCGTAATCTGTCATGGGCCCCTGTACCGCCTCCTCATGCTGCTGCCAAGGTCCAGAGTGTGTCATGGGTCCCTGTACGGCCTCCCATTGCTGCTGCCAGGCCCGTAATCTGCCATGGGCCCCCGTACCGACTCCTCATGCTGCTGCCAGGCCCGTAATCTGCCATGGGCCCCTGTACCGCCTCCTCATGCTGCTGCCAGGTCCAGAGTGTGTCATGGGTCCCTGTACGGCCTCCCATTGCTGCTGTCTCCATCGCCACACTCTGCCATGTGCCACTTTCAGGTCTCCTCACACTGCTGGTGGTTCCATTTTGTCATAGGGTGCTGTATGGCCTCCCATTGCTGCTGCCAGGCCCGTAATCTGCCATGGGCCCCCGTACCGACCGATGCTGCTGCCAGGCACGTAATCTATCATGGGCCCCTGTACCGCCTCCTCATGCTGCTGCCAGGTCCAGAGTGTGTCATGGGTCCCTGTACGGCCTCGCATTGCTGCTGTCTCCATCGCCACACTCTGCCATGTGCCACTTTCAGGTCTCCTCACACTGCTGGTGGGTTCCATTTTTTCATAGGGTGCTGTATGGCCTCCCATTGCTGCTGCCTCCACCGCCACACTGTGGCTCCACACTCTGGTTTTGGCCCCGTGACTGCCCAAATGAGTGAAGTGTGCGGTGATTCTAAGATCGACGGCACTCATCTGCATGTCATACTGACTGACAGTATTATTTCTCTTCCCCAGCAGACTCCAAGGGCATTTAAATTAAAGGTACAGTGTTCTGCACTAATATAAAGGCTCTCTGAAGCCTAGAAACACCCTTTTTATAAGTCAAATTCGCAGCGAATATATTCGACTCGAATCGAATTTATTCCGCGAATTCGCCGAATCAGCCGAATCGAATTTTTGAATACTTCGCTCATCTCTAGTTATAAACATTTGATAGCTCAATAAATTACTGAGGATTCATATATTGTTTATAGCTGTATGTACACGGTAGTGTTAGAATTATCAATGCTCTGCTGACGGCTTGTTGATGAAGTCAATATACATTTATATCTACATCTATGTCCATGTAAATGCTATCATATACACATATACACATATTAATACACATAATGACAACTTTAAATGCACCTACGAGTACTGCCCTTGGTAAAAAAAAAAATTTATTCACATCCTTTGTGAAACTTATCTTGCAGAACTATAATTGGGACTAAAAAATGTACAGTTATCAAAACCCCAACATAATATTAATGCATGATTATTATGTACAGTCTTTTAGCTGTGAACAGTCTGCTACTGGTTTCCTTAATTAAGGATACAAAGGGCTCCTTTATCTTTGCATATTTCCTTGCTAGGACATTGATACTCATTATTTCCAAAGTCCAAACGGTGAGGTTGTGTCAAGAATGCATTCATCACTAGACGGGTACGTATAGTCAGCACAATTTTCATTGGCGTCAGCAAATTCAGTCATTTGCAATTTCTATATGTTTGAGGGGTGTTTTATCGCTAAAGATCACTTTCAGATAACATGATTATGGGGCTGCTACTTACAATAGGTGAGAGTGATGTAATGGCAGTAATTAGGAGCCTGTGATTATCAGCCTCCTTAGGAAAAGTAGAACATGTTTGAGTGGTAATTTACTTTGACAATCAGCAGCACATATGAGTAATGAACAATAGTTTTCTGTCTGCTAAATTGTTTTAATACTTTTTTTTACTTAAAAAATAACTTGAGAGGGAAGGTAAAGTGTTTTTTATATACTGTGTGTGTATGTATATATATATATATATATATATATATGTATATACACATACGCACACAATATTATTTATTTTTATTTCAAGTACTTATATAGCGCCGTCAATTTACGCAGCACTTTACATATATATTGTACATTCACATCAGTCCCTAACCCTCAAGGAGCGTACAATCTAAGTATATATGTATACACTATATATTTCTTTATAAATGTTCAGAACTAAAATACATGTAATGATTTTATATCAATAATACAGAAAAGATAAAAACAACATTAATGAAAAAATATGTAATTAAACTAATTGAAATTGTTGTCATTTTACTATACTGTAAATGCAACCAGGCAAGATACTGGAGCTGAAAGTACAAATAAATGGCCCAATCTTTGCAGCAAGGAGAATATGAAAGGTTGATGCATGTCAAATCAATAAACAAAAATTCCCAGCTCACTTACCAGCCAACCTGAAACAATCCGAATTACCCTGTCTAACAGTTCACGTTAAAAAAGGGGTTTAATTTGCACATATTTTCAAATATATGCATGAAAACAAACTATAGCACAAACTATTTTTCCCTATTTCATGGGATTTTCAGGGCATATCACAACAATTAGAAAAGATATATGTTTTGCTAACAGACCATCATATTTTTATTAGCATTCAAAATTTAAAAAAGGAAAACACAAATGCGGCTTGCAAATGAATGCATCTTAACACCTATAGTGACACAGCTGTCAGCATATAATTGTATGATTCTGTGGCTTCATATACCCTTCACCCGACATGTTTCAGAGACTTGTAACTCTCTCTTCAGGGGTATTAAGGGTTTTCACATCTCTACAATGTAATTGGATATATATTATATTATATTATATTAAAAACAAACTACAGTATATAGCACTAAGATAGCTAGGGCGGTGGAGTGGAGTGTGGCTGAAGTCACAAAACAAAAAGGAAAACACACTAGGTGTGTTTAGGGTAGTAAACGTGCTAAGTCCCAAAAGGAATGTGCCCATTTGAAATGGCTGTAGCTCCCTTGTATGAGTTTAGGATATTAACTCTTGCACTGTAAAAACTAAAGAAACAGTGGAAGCCACCATCTAAGTGTAGATTTATTAGAAACAATAAAAAGAAGTTAAAAATTGCACTCACTTTGTATAAAACCATAAAAGCATTACTATTCCTCTGGTATCTGCAGAGCTCGGCAAGGCATGGTAGAACAGAGTGATTCTTCCAGGCATCACTCAGCTCTACCCTGCCTTGTTGAGCTCTGCAGGACTAGTAATGCTTTTATGATTTTACATGTCAGAGCAAATTTTAACTTCTTTTTATTGTTTATAATAAATCTACACTTAGTGGTGCCCGCTGTTTCTTTTGCAAATAATGGCATAAACTGCAGAGGCCACGTCATGGCACCCCAGTGTACTGCAGTCTTAACTCTAAAATTCTGAGTCTCCTGAGTTGGAGCACATATATAATAACGGATAGATTAAGGGAAGGTATGCCTGGAGGGAACCCACCACTCTTAATGGTATAAGGGAGCACTGGGCACCCAGCAATAGCACAATTCCACAGCTACCTTGAATTTGAAGATGTATGCACCAAGGTTGTTATCCTCATGTTGCTTTTATTATTTGTTGAATCCCTGACTTAGCAGAGCTTGTGCATATTAGGTGTTGGACATATGATTCTGGAGCACTGATTGATAAATGGTAAAGAAAGGTTAAGACAACCCTAGAATGCATACCTCAAAACACAAGTAAGCAATTCTTTCTTTTTTGGTCATGCTCCAGACCACCTGATGATTGCAGCTGACCTTAAACATTTCTTGGACCCCAATCACAATGCCTACCTGGATGTCCAGCCATGTTCCTCAATTATATTAGCTGCTTGAACATGTAAGAATCTTAAAGGAGCCACATATCCCAGTGCCTGGAATTATTGTGGACTGCATATTGAGAGACCCCAGTGGACAGGAGGCTGAAGTGATCCTAAGAAGTTGCAAGATCGTGGTGTCTGGCTTTTATATACTTAATTCCAGTATATTGGTTGTAAGAATTCTGTGAGCCTTGAGGTGGCACATGGTGTATTAAAGGAGCACTTTCATGTATATTGGTGTGAGGGCTAATCACATCAAGATGAACTAATTATCCAGAGAAGAGTTGCTTGAAGATTTTTGGAGAACTGTCACATTAATATTTATGAACTGTTCTTATATGTTTATTCACTCACTAATTGACTTGTATTGTAATATTTTGTAATATTAGTAGCTTAAGCACATGGACAGATTGATAGGTGTGCTCTTTATTTTCATCTGTATACATGTAACACATATTTGTTTTTATTTCAGTTTATTTATGTATATAATTAATTTCTACATTTTTACTTTGAGCAGCACAACACCATCATTGATATTATTTCAGACACTGATAACTTGTTTTTGAGGCATGTGTTCCACATTTGTGTTACCTTTCCCTACAATCTACTGCAGCCAGATTTCACAGTGCTCCTCAAATGTGGGGTGGATAGGTCTGCTTCCTGAAACATGTGTAATGAAATTTCCCAGGAGGCATGCACAGACCAGAAAAGCACCCCAATCGCCAACTGAAAGAGTGTGCACAGCACACTGAATACAATGCTGCAAATTATGAGACAGTGGTTTTGCATTGTAAGTCTGAAATAGTGCAACAGAATAATGGTAATAGATTTTTAAAAAAATGAGGCATGATGCCAAACATACTAAAAAATAGATTTTGATTATAAATTCATTTAGTGGAAGTTGTTATAGTATACATTCAATATTATTTTAAACATTTATTGATTTATTAATCTTTTTGTAGAAGTAGGGTACATGACCAACAAGAATGAGATTCCAGGCACAAAAGTCCATTTTTATTCACAAGCACTCAGCTGATGTTCACAGAACACATTCCTCATCCATGAAGTATCCATGATTAAGAAAGAAAATATACACACAGCATGTTTCTTTCTGGATCACCCAGATCTATGCACTGCCCCCCATCAAATTATTTACACCCCATAGGAATACCACCAGTGTAGAGGACAGAGGTTTCAGGTGAGATCAGATTCCACAATATCATGTCAGGTGCTGACATGGCTCAACCTGGCTTGCCTCCACTGAAGCAATCGATTGTATCAGCAACAGGAATGCCGCACATTGAGATAAAAAATAATCTTCATTTATTAAAATAGCCAGCAAGAACAAATTGTATTCTGACATGTTTGGCGTTAGGCACAGTACTTTCACAAAACCACTTCACAAAACACATTAGAAAATCAATTATTAAAAATCACGCTCCATGACATTCCCTCCACCTCTCAAAGAAATGAACCCAAAAGTAACCTGAACGGGTTGCTTCTCTGGCTCATTTACAAGTATACTAAAAGCAGTCACATCAAGTTACAATGTAAGTTACCCACATCATTTCCCAGAAGAACGTCTGCTGGTAAAATGGTAAAAAAAACTTCCATCAACCCCACCCAGCACAATTTCTCCCCATTTCTATAGTCCAAATGCAGTTCAGCAATACTGTAGGTATACATCTCTTTGTGCGATCGACAAATTTAATTATACTCTCTGGGCTTCTTTGAATAACCTCAGGTCTAACAATACAAGGGTTCACATTATTAGAAAGGCTCCACTGTGCTCAAAAGCTACCACTGTTCTTCGATTAGTCCTTAGGCCTCATGCAAACAGACATTTATTAGCACCAAAGTCCTCAAGGGTAAAATCCCTGGAGCTTTCCCATGCTCAGGGAGCAACAGGTGGATGCTGTACATGCTCATACTCTTGAAAACGCGGATGCTCCTGAGCATTGGAAAGCACTACGCTTAAAGACTTTAGAGTTAATAGGAACCATGAGGTCTTACATAATGCAGGTGTGGATTTCTTAGTTTAGAGTGGCCAGGTACAAGAGGATGAACGCCATATGCCTAAAGTGACCTTTGTAATGGATTGTGTCCAGGATAATGTCCATGTGGTGAGGTAAGAAGCTCATCATGTTCTG